AAGAATGTGTGGTTGAAAATGAGAATTGATTTACTGTAAAAAAATTTAATCCCTCCTAAACATGGCCTAAATAATAATTCATAGGATGCACTGGAGATTAATTTTGAACTTGAACGTCTATTCATCCGACATGGATGATACATATTAAAAAACTTTCAACCTTTGTCCCCCCTAGTCCATAGTAGAATATACTAAGGCCCTGTTTGTTTATGATTAAAATCTGATTTTAATCCAAATCAAAGTCAAACAATCAATATTAACCACATCTTTCATGGGTCTCACAACTTTTCAACCACACATTTCAAAAACTTCTATCACAATCTACTAAAAATCTAATTTTAATCTCCATCAAACATCACCTAGTAGTGATTTTTAACTATCCAATTCAAATTCAAACTTACGTTTTTTATTCGATAATCCGATGATAATCCAAGCTTTAAATATTAATAATATTATTATAAAATTAATTAATCTACTTAACTATCCCACCTCATCCACCCACCAAATTTCACACACAAGCCATAATCATATTCTCCTCCCCCCTCTGTAGCAGTCTCTCCATATACCTCACTTATCTTTTTTCTCTTTCTCACAAATCATTGTCGGAGTTAACGTCGCCTAACGAGGGCATGACTTTTTGAAATAAAAATGATAAACGTGTATTTAATTCAAATTTCATTTGGTACTTAGAGCTAAAGAAATTATTAGATTATTCTGAAAATGTTTTCAACCACTTCATTCAATTCAAATCCATTCTTTTGTTTACGTGTAAATCTAAATTCATATATTTTCTAAAAATGCTCTCGTTTGGTGCACATTTAAAACGTAAGAATGTATTTTTACTGTAGATGTGATGAGAAATATGTGGTTGAAAAAGAATGAAAAGTTATTGATATGAGAAAAAATATTATTTTATTAAAAAATGTGTGGTTCAAAATGAATAGAAGAATGAGAATGAAAAAAATAATGTAGACCAAACGGGCTAATATAAAAGATTTAATAATCCGTAACTTATTATTTCTTTTCAATAAAAAAGAAATTCGTAATCTATTTTTATATTCAGAATGTCAACGCGTCTAACTTCAACAGGCAATTATCCATTTTAATTTTTAAAGTTATTTTGAAACCCACTTCATAATTGAATATTAGGATCGAGTTTCCAAAGTTCAAGTCAACAACACGTTTTATTATTTTTGAAATATTTTGAACAAATAGACAGTGCGACCATGACAACTTACTTATATTTCTTATTTCATGAGATACTCTTCAAAAATTCTATAAAATACGAAAGTGCAGCCAACGAACAGAAGGGGTGTAACTGTAATTTTGTTCTTTTGATACAACCAATGAAACACTCCCCTCAACAAGGTTTCCCTCGCAGCGCTAGTTCACTGGAAATCTAAAGCCATGATGTTGGCCCAAAGAATTCCATTTGAACCCATAAATATCTTTCCTATACAAATTCACCCCTACTCTTTTCAAACATTCACATTTCACTGCCTAGAACCCCGTACTTTCCGAGTGGGCTGGAGAAACTGTGCGCACGTGTATGCATTCTGCGGAAAGAATCCCGAGTTGTTGTCACGCTGAGTTCTGAGTCCACTCTCTGCTTCATCTTCCCCGAGGACAAAAGTGCCAAACTTAGAACCCAGGGCCAGCCTGCGGCACAGCAGGTGCATACATATCATTTTGACCATGAATATTCAGGATCTTGAGGTTGTTGGCTTGTGCATGAGTCTGACTTGGCTGAGCTTGACCGAGTTCAAGCAACGAGTTGAGATTGGCCAGAGTGGCCCAGTCAAAACTCCCTGAGCCCAACTTCTGAAGATTCACCTTTTGATCCTCTTGCTGAAATGCCCTCGATGAATTCATTCTTGGAAGAGAGTAAAAACGGTCATCAATATCTGGTAAAGACTCCAAAACATCATCGTACTGCGATGAAGAACCGTGGCTATACTCCTTGCTCTGTATACCAGAATCTGCTGGCTTTTGTCCACTGGAATTCTTCTTGTAAATTCGACACAACACCCAATCATCCAACTACATAAAATAAAATACACAAAAACCATTAACATAAAAGCGAACAAGATTTTAACTTTTTAACGATATTATGTTCAGTCAAACTTACCCTTGCGCTACCATTTTTCCTTGGGGATTCAGTGAGTCTATATTCATGCATAATCCAATTGGTTTTGGTTCCTTTAGGTGCTTTTCCTACGTAAAACACGAGAGATTTTTTAATACCAACTTTTCTTCCTTCTGTAGTAATAACCTTATCAGTTCCCGTGGCTTTCCAATATCCAGAACCAGAGACTCTATTCGGTCTCGATCCATTCGGGTACTTTCTGTCTCTGGGACTGAAAAAGTACCATTCTTTTTCTCCGAATATTGCTTTGCCTTCAAAAAACACTTTAGAGATCAGAAATGAAATACTAAAAATGAATTAAAATGAAAATTTTCGTTATTGTAGGACAAAATACGTACTGGGAAGATCCCATGGATCAAATTTATACAAATCAATCTCTCCAATGATTTGTAAAGAAAAATGGTAGCCGGCAATTTTCCGGCACAAGTATTGCACCATTAGCTCTTCATCAGTCGGGTAAAACCGAAAACCCGGTGGCAAACTCAATTGTGACAGAAGATCCATTCCTTCAAATGATTTGCAGCAGCTTTCGAAAATGTTAAAAGAGGAAACTGCAAACTATTATCTCAACTTTTTTTCCTCGGAGAACAGAGATTTAGCGGTAATTTATAGAGGTATTAGCGTACAAGAAAAAAGAGATAAGAACGGGTGTCATTCTCGGAAAAATGGGTCCCACAAAATTTTGTCCTTGTTTAAATGCTGCCACGTTATAATATGTGGCATTATACGGCGGTTAAGGTGCATGAACCATCGGCATCATAATAAAAGAGCGGCACACTCACACGTGCTTTTTTTCTCACAGGAAATGTATAGACATCACTGCATTTGTATGTATGATTCGGTGTGGTAATGTCCGTTTTGTTTGCGTTTGATTGTTGCACAAGTACGAGTATTTATAAACATAATTCAAATATAAGTTAAATTACTATTTAGTAGGAATTTAAATTTAAGTTAAAATTAACAATTAACTATAACAATATATTTGATATGATCTGTAACTTCTCAATTATACGTTATTAATTTTTATCAAAATTTATTTATCTTATTTTAATTCCTAGAACAAAATAAGAGAAGTCTCTTAACTTTAGATACACTTCTGATGTCAACACAATTAACTAATTCTAGACTGCAGCTTGGTTTGAAAAAATTTTTTGTAAAAAATTATTGTAGAATACAATAATGGTTTATTACTTTAGAAAGAATACAAACAGTAAATAAAATTCCAGATAAACGGTAAAAGGGGACAGATTTGAAACGTACAATAACGAAGTCAAATATCATGTGATTTGAGAGAATACATTAGCAAATCGAGACCNACCATTCTATTTATTTCACAGTGATGGGTTAGGGTCAATATTGTAATTGGAAATTCTGTGAACAAAAAGGACTTAATTGAACATGTGTAAAGTCAAGGAGTGAAGTGCAATTTTGTATAGATGAGTTAAGTTAGGGATAAAGGTTGAAAACAAGGAAAACGCGGTGCTGGAATTTCACTAGACTGTCGCCAAGACTTGGTTTGAGCGTCAGAAACAGAAACTATTGATAAGTCTGTTTTTGCACACTTATTTAATACATAAACAAGCTAATTATTTATTAATTTGAGCGAATTGCTATTCACAATTGGGTAATGTTGGCTTTTATAGGTAAAAATCACCCAAATGGACTAAATAAAAGCATGCAAAAATGTGAAGTTGGCGACCAAAAATGTACAAGGCCAGAAATTGGAGGATTTGGAGTGCAATTTATGGAGGGCGATATTGAAATGAAAAAAAATTCGAGGACCAAATTGTACAACATCATAGTTGAGGGACTGGAAGCGCAAATATTGGAGGACTTGGCTACAAATTGGCAGAAATTCCATTTTCCCTGCCGGTGACAAAGACAGTGACGCTGCAGCGCCACTGTTTCGGCGCTGTAGCGCCACTTGTTAAAAAAATGGGTTTACGGACCATTTTGCTCACTTGTCAAAAGTTTGGGGACCAAAGATGCAATTTCCTCTAGGTTTTGTTTTAAAATCAGCCTTTTGACTTTTCTTCCACAGTTTTGGATTTTGGCTTTCTGCTGGGACGTGTTTCGGGCTTTTTTTTTTCCTTTACTTTTAAGCTTTTTATTTACTTTTATATCCTTTCATGCTTTTATTTTGATTAGCTATTATTATTTTTTGTATGTAATTTTTGAAGTCTCATATATTCATGGTTCCTCACAAGTTTGGGGGTCAAATGGTGTACATGAAGGTTACTTGCCAATTCCATTAAAAGCATTACAAGTCCAAGTAGAGCATTGACACATCTTCACAAATGTCTAATTAGGGAAATTTCGTTATTCACTCTTCTCTTTATCTTGTTCTTTTACACATTGAGGGCAATGTGTGATTTAAATTTGGAGGTGATTGTGTTTGAATTTGTGATATTGTGTTGACATATTAGATGGCCTTGCCGGCTTAGGATTGCTTAATGTTTAAAATTGTTATTGATTCATGAGCTATGCATGACCAAATATGCTATTCATGCCTATTTTATTTTATTTTTTTGAAAAAAGAGCTTGTCTATTATTAAATCATGAGTTACTTTGAGCACAATAGTCACGATTAATCGTTATCTAGATGTGGAAATTTTTGGATTGATGGAAATATTTTTGAATTGGTAAGAACAAGGTTGTGAGTTGCTTGAAAAATTGTATCAACCTATATTCTCCTCTTTCACTTTACCATATTATAAGATAAGTGTAGGGGTGGTCGAGCCGGTGAAGGATATTATCTAGAAGTGTGTTGATTCCAGACGTGTAGAAAAAAATATTGTGTAGAGTGTCTTTTGCCAAGTATAAGTTAGGTAATGACCATATGTTTAGGGGTGGGGGTGGGCGTGGGTTGGGTTGGGTTGGGTCGATTTTTGTCCCAACCTAAACCCAAACCCAACCCAATACGATCGGTTTGATTGAAATTCAACCCAACCCAACCCATGAAAAAATTGAAACCCAACTCAACCCAACCAAATGTCGGTCGGGTTGGGTTGGGTTGGTCGGGCTGCCAAAAACTATTTTTAAAGCAAGCAATGCTCGACTCTTTACCATAAGAATTTTTTACAGCTTGCTTTCTATGTAATAATGCCTAACTTCAAAGATAGACTTAGTGAAAACTAGACATAGACTAGACAGAAACCAAAACAAGCCTCTTTCCAAGTGACTAGTCAAATTACAGAATCCCAAGCAAAATCAGCCGACAACACATATTGACAACAGACAAGCTATATGAGTTAAAGAATTCGTTCTTATCTAGAGCTCAATTGTTTTTTCATTTCATTTACTTTATTTCAGAGTGAAATTTTTCCAGCAATAGAAAACGAAAAACTTCATTTGGCTCCAGGAACCTCCAGATACAGGGGAAATGCTGAAAAGGTGCAACAGGCGAGATTAGTATACAAGACTCACCGATTTATTAGGATCCATGTAAACACTCAAAAGAGATTTCATTGTGGGATATGGATTACGAGTAAAAATGTGAGACTGGCAAAATTATAGAAGTTCGTGAATAATTCCCGTGAATTTCATTACTCTTATAACAGAATTTAAAAAAATGAGTTTGGGCAAAATATAACAATCATGCACAAATGACATGCTGACTTGATTTTTCAGCAAATATACAA